TATAAAATATGATTGCATCAGCCTAGAATACTCAGTATGTCCCTGGTTGTATCATTAAGAAGATGATGAGACCACAGAGGAAAGTCATCTTCAATGCAAGGTGTGCCTAGGGAGAGTGACCAGGAGAAAAATCTCCCACGTTTTCACATAGAGCAACGTGGTCAAGCAATGGCTGTGACACTTTTGGGTGGGTGATGCTGACAGAAGAGCCATAAGGTGCTATGCATTGTTCTAAGATAACTCCTGAGAAGACCTAAGTGACCTTTATAGTAACTAAAGAACTGATTATAGTCAATGCAGATCTCATGTCAGCTTGGTCTTGAACCTCCTGCAAAAAAGTCTGGCCTCTAGAGATACAGTGCAATATAAAATGTTGGCTGTGGGAGAATGTCAGATCACTAACATGCTCTGACAATTGCTGTCTTTGCTGGTAACTGACTACTGTTATGAACCGATGGACTATGATGAGTTTGAATTGGTGTTCTCCTCAAAGCATCCCCAACTTGAGCTGGTCCCCTATCCTGGGAGCCAACAAAACAAAAAAAGATAGATGTTGGAAAGCATTGAAGCTGAATACATGTGCAGGGCTGTGGTATGGCCTGGGCATGATTGAATTGAGAATGAGGAGACATCTCAAAGCCTAAGAGAGACCAATGCTGAGGCCACCTGGAGACTTCCTAGATAGTTTTCCTTAATTAGCATCATCTGTTGTAATGAGGCTTCCTTGATACTCTCCCAGGAGCCTGCTCAGGTTTCCTCCACTGTCCACTCAATTCTTTGCTTGTTCTGATTAAATACATGCTGCCTATTGATAGTTCGCTGGCGCACTAGCAGTGTTATGAGCTCTGAAGAGGATTTCACTCTTCCTGCTGCCCTCAAGAGAATACCACTTGTTTCATGCTTTTGTTCCTTTGCTGTGCACTTTTTTGGGTCCTCGAGATTTAGGCATAGGCCCAACAGAAAATTAACTTTCAAATAGGATAACTGTAAGATTCCTGAAAAGATTACTGCATTTAAACTTTTCTGCACCTGTAGATGGAATTGTTATGCTATCAACAAAACATATTACTACCTTATCAATATATTGCTACCAGTTCAACATATATTCTCTTGTTAAAATATTGAGGGGTATTGTTTTCTCACATGGCATGATCATGCAACTCTTCACATCATTGTGAGTATTCTGCATAAATTTTTCTAAGTCAGTACTTACAAGTGAAATTGGTAGATGATGAAAGTAGGCATCCATCAATTTGTTCAGTACTATGTAACATGAGTCTATGTGTTTCTAGCACTTCATTTGTTTCAATCATGAATGCATCACCAGATGCCTGTTTTTCCTGCTTGGCAGAGAATGGGTTGTACAGGAAATTAGTGGTTTTCATCTGCGAAGAAATGTTGGAGTCAAACTGAAATACGTACATGCTAAAAAACTGTCAAGGTTTCATAGATTAAAAACTAATTACATAAATAGTTGAATTAGTTGATACATTTGGAAGATTATTTAGGACATACACCTAGCTGAATTATATTAGATATTTATTTCTTTACATTGATACAGGTAGAAAATATCTGACCTACAGAATTTAATAAAAATACATACTTTTATGTCATTGTTTCTATGAGGGAAATATGGTTTTGAATGTTTCCAATACAGAACTATCTTGGAAAATAGAAGTGAAAGGAAAAAGGTAACTTTTTTTATGAGGTGAAGGAGCCAGAGAGGAGTGAGGGAGCCTGAGAGGAAGGATCCAGGGACCAGATTTGGTTCATGGGTTTTAACTCACATGGCTGCAATGCATACATATAGAAGTGATTATACTAATCTCCTACACATCTCAGATGCCAAACAAGTTGTTAACAAATGGATCACATGGCTTTAGGGAACATAGGCCCTCTAGGGATATTAAAATCCTGAAGAGCAGAGTGACAATTTGTGACAAGGGAAAGTCCCTGCTGCACCAAAAGGAAACATTTAATTGGATTAGGAATTTGGTTCAATTTCAGCAATAATTGTGCCCCCCATGCTTGGCAATATGATCACTTTCAGAATTCAGGACTTCTATGAGTCTGAATGAGTAGCAAGCTTGTCCTGGAGAATTGATGTTAGCATTTCTTTCATGTTTACTCTCTTTCAGACTATTACTATCATTTAAATATAATGTCTTCACTTTACACAGTAACTGCTCATTTTGTGTTCACATACTGGGTTTGTAAGTGGAAAATTAATACAGATAATACTGAAAATCTTGAAAATGAACTCTGCTGCATTTCATACAACCTTCCAACTCTCTATTCTGTTGTGTGCCACCCTGGCATGGGCACAGAATGTTTTCTAACATCAGGGGATTTCTTCATCCCTGGAGGGTTGAACCTGAATCCTGAAAACATTTGCAGCCCATTATGGAAAGAGTCCACTAAGTCATGAATGAAAGCAAATGTAGCCATGAAATGGCAAGGATAAACATAACATTTAGAGAAAAACCTAACACCACTACTTCTCAAATTTTTTAATGAAATTGAATTGGAAGTTGTACTCCCAAATTCATTCCTGGAAGCAAGCATTACCTTTAAACCAAAACCAGAGTATAATCCAAATAAGAAAGAGAATTACAGGCCAATCTGCCTAATGCACACTGAAGCAAAAATGATCAATAAGATACTGGCCAATAGACTGCAGAATATCATCAAGAAGATTGTACTCCATCATTAAGTGGAATTCTTCCCTGGGATGCAGGGGTGGTTCAACATACATAAATCCATGCACATAATACACCGTATTCACAAATCCATAGGCAAAAATCATTTGATCATTTCAATAGATGGCAGAAAAAAGATTTTGACAATGTCCAGTACATATTCATAATAAAAACCATACAAAAATTGGGAGAGATGATCTTTATCTCAATCTGACAAAAGCCTTTTATGACAAACCAACAATCAACCTTATACTAAGTGAACAAAAACTGAAAGTTTTCACTCTAAAATCAGGAATAAAACAAGGATGTCCACTGTCTCCACACTTATTTAATATAGTCCTGGAAACAAGCTGGAGCATTTACAGAAGTGAAAGAAATAAAAGAAATAAAGTTATGAAAGGAAAATTTTAAACTATCATTATTTGCAGAAGACACAATACTCTACTTAGAGGACCCTAAAAATTCCAACCAAAGACTGCTAGTTTCATTAGCAAATTCAATAATGTAGCTTTTTAAAAAGTCAACACTCAACAATCAATAGTCTTCTTATACACAAATATCAAACTCCTGGAAAGAGAAATCAAGGAAACTATACCTTTTACAATGACATCCCAAAAAATGAAATATTTAGGAATCAATCTAACAAATGATGTAAACGATCTCTACAATGAAAACTACAGTACTCTCAAAAAGGAGATTGAAGAAGATATTATAAAATGGAGAGATATCTCATACACTTGGGTAGGAAAATTCAATATAGTGAAAATGGCCATACTTCCAAAACTATGGTACAGATTCAGTGCAATCCCAGTCAAAACCCCAATAGCATATCTCACAGAATTACACAAAATAAATCCTAAAATTCATCTGGAACCAGAAGAAACCTAGAATAGCAAAAGTGCTCATGGGCAACAAAGAAAAGACAGGGTTCATCACAATCCCTGCCTTGGAATTATACTATAAAGCTACTGTGATTTTTAAAAGGCTGTGGTACTGACAATAAACAAAACAAAACAAAACCAGACACAAAAACCAAAAAATTGATTAGAAGATCGAGAAACAACCCCAGACACACTAAACCATCTTATCTTTGACAAAGATGCCAAACACATTCACTGGAAGAGAGACAGCCTGTTTAATAAATGGTGCTGGAAAAACTGGCTCTACACATGCTGAACATTAAAACTGGACCCGTATCTTTCAACGTGTATTAAGCTAAGATCAGAATTGATCAAATATCTTATATTACAACAGAAACATTAAGTCTGCTGGAAGATAGAGCAAGTAAAACTCTTGAAGACATTGATGTAAGTAAAGACTGTATTAAGAACACATGGATTAAACAGCAATAATTACCCAGAATCAACTGAGATCTCATCCTATGAAAAGCTTTTTAACAGCAAGAGAAACCACCAGCAGAGTGAAGAGTCAACCCACAGCAGGGGAGAAAATGTTTGTCAGCTGTTCCTCAGACAAAGGATTAACCATTGACATCATAGGCAAACTCAAAAAAGTCAGTCTTCCCAGATTTAAAGACCCAATCCAAAAATGTGCATCTGAGATGAAATACACAGTTCTAAGATGAAGAAATAGTAACAGCAAATAAATATGTGACAAAATGTTCTACTTCACTGGTCATTCAACACATGCAAATTAAAACAACACTGAGATTTCACCTTGCCTCAGAAAAAATGCTTACTGTCAAGGAATCAATCAATAAGGAATGCTAGAGGGGTAGTGGGAGAAAAAGGATCCCTTCTCCATTGTTGGTGGTAATGCAACCACTGTGGAAATCAGTGTGGAGATTCCACACAAACTAGGTCTACAGGTCCCACTCAAATCAGCTGTTCCCCTTCTGGGTATCTGCCCCAAAGATTTAAAAACATCATGCCACAGTGATATATGTGCACCCATGTTTATAGCAGCACGGTTTGCAGTATCCAAATCTTAGATCGAATGCATGACCTCTAGCTTTCCAGTCAGGGGCTTATGCTGCTGAGCTAAAATCCTGGACCACATTTTTTACTTTTTATCTTTGAAATAAAATCCTTTTGGGGGGGAAAAAAACAAGGGCTGAAGTAAAGTCCTTAAGTGCAAATACCCATCGGAGGAGCTGAGGTCAACATTGCAGAAGACAGCCAGATCCAGAAGTCTCCACTATCTTTATTGGGGATCCACAGTTACAGGCTGGGTTTTTTTTTTTTTTTTTTTTTCTAATTATTCTTAGCGGGGAAGGCGGGCAGGAGCGCAAGAGCCAATCAGTGCTGAAGAGGCGGACTGCATGAACTGTCCAATCAGGAGGGCTAAGGTAGGCGGTTTCTTCCGGTGTCATGGCGTCTATTGAGTTTCCGGAGCAAAACCGGGGGAGCTAGATGTTTGCTAAACTGCGTTTCGTGGCTTCAGTTTGCTGTGGACTGCTTAGAAAGAACCTGGGAGACCTTCGAGCTGTGCAATGGTGACGTTATGTAATGGCAGCAGTGAAATGGGGTGGAAGCAGGTTGAGACAGTTAGAAGTGGTGAGATGGACCTGTGCTGTCTAGAGCCTGCTTGCTTGGCTTCAGACCCTGAGGTCCTCTAAGGCTAACAGCGAGTCCTCTGTCCCTTTTACCTCTCGCTGGAGCCAGGACAGTTCTGGATCCCTAGAACGCCGTCGCCACTGTGACACCACCAGGCCACAGTGCCATTTTTCAAATCGCTTGCTGTCCTTGCTCCTCCAACGGTCTGGGCACAGAAATGGGCGTGGGGAGACCCTGACTCTGATGTGGTTTCCAGCTGAGTGCAGCTGTGGTAAGCTAGGCCTCTGCTTTCATTCCTGTCAGCAACAGATCTGGAAGAAAGAAATTTATAAATGTCTGTGATGCAGGACCTCATAGCCAGCCACAAGTGCTCTCCTTAAACTTGTGCTTTTTTGTATTTATACTGATCACCTCAATTTAGAGTATGTTATCGGATTTACATCCTCATGACAGTGGTGGCAAATTCAAACATGTGTAGTGATGCGCCTCAGTGGAGGAAGCTTCTCAAACACATGGTGAACTCCTTTTATCATACAAAACCATGCAAAAGAATTTCTGAACTCAATTATTTAGGAGACACCCCTGCTCATAGACTATGTTTATGAAAACAGCCATAGAGTTTTGAATTCTGACAAAAATGAAACAGATGTGAAAGTGCTACCAAGGGCAGGGTTAAGTGTGCTCGCTCAGGACAAACTCAAGAAAGGCCTGACTGTTACATCCTCATTGAAAAACATCTGAACTTAGGCATTTGCATGGACGTATACAAGTGATATCATTCTAAATTGAAAGGAATGTGGGTGTCATCTCTGAATAGACAGATGATTTAATAGCTTATTTGATCATAGACGTTTAAATATGGAAATTCTCTGCAATGAACTTTATAAAATGATGTAAATGAGAAGACCTAATTAGAATTTGTGCAGGGATATCAATACTTAGGCATGAAGGGTTTTCTGCTTAGGGTTGATCAGAGGAGCATCGAAAGGATGTGGAAGTGATTGGTGTGATGCAGGGTCCCAGTAGTGGGATGTACAATAGAGAGGGTCTTCACTGAAAGTTGGGCAGTTCTTAGAGTAGGTATGAAGATAAAGTGTTGTGATTAGTTCCATGCGATGAATAACACTACCTCTTACAACAATCTGTATTCCTCATCCCTGTCCAACCATGAATTCTGTGTTCTATACTAGTTGTGATTATCTCTAATTATGTCCCAGTGTCATTAAGGTGAAATTGGAATTTTATTTGTACCAGGGATCAAACTCATGACCTCATGATTGCCAGGCAGGCATTCATGCCGCTGAGCTAAATACCCAGCACTGAAAGTGTTTTCTGTATAGTATGCAAGACAGTAACATTGTTCCTTAGAAAGTGTTGAATATTTTTGGAATTTTTCTATATTGTATGCTTATAATTTTTTAAAACAAACCAAAGGTGTCTTATGCAGTCACTTTTCAAGTTTCACTTTGTCTGAGGCGTGTCTCAGTCACGGTTTCAGTATTTCAGACAGCTCTGTAAGTTAAGATAGCCCCAAACTCAAGGCAGTTCTCCTGCATCAGCCTCCCGAGATATATTTTTTATATCTGAATGGAAAGTGATCAGTTCGTGACCCTGAGCTATAATTTGCAGCTTGGGCCTGGTTTCATTGTTTATATATTTTTACATAAAACTGTTTTTCATTAATATTTGAGTCATTATTTATGTACCATATTTGATGTTATTTATGTTTTGTTCCATGAGACCAAATTCAAATATCAAAATGCTGCTTAAGTATATTAGGAACAAAGAACTCAGTGGCCTAAATGAGATTTGAAGAGATACCATCTATAGTCTATCAGAGTGATTGATGAGATATTTGTCTGCCTCTGTGCTGTGTGGATGCTGGTCCTGCAGGCTCCCACTGTGAGTGCTGCTTTAGAGACAGTGCACATGGACTCTTGCAGTGACTCAGTACAAGAATCAGTGCTCCTGTTTGTCTGTTACATTAGCAGTGAGTTGCAATATAGCATCAAAATTGCTGTCTCCAAAAATGTGTATATACACAAAATTAATGAGCAAGACATGGATTTAAAATTTGAAGAATTCAGTCTCCATTCATTTGTTTTGAATTAATTTAGTTTAGTTTTATTGAGACAGCCTTTTTTTATGTATATCAGCTGGTTTTGAACCCCTTATGGAGCCTACACATGCCCTGACTTCACAGCATCCCTCCTGTCTCAGCCTCTTGAGTGCTGGGATTATACATATGTGTTTTTTAACCCTACAAAATATTGAGGCTTGGCACTGTAACTTAGCTGTACTGTATCTTGGCATAATAGATGCCATCTTGAGCATTGCATTTAACAAGTGCCCTGTATTTCACCCAGAAAAATGGAAAATCACTCTGGGTTGAAGTCCCAGGAGAAAAGCAAAATGAGATATACCCAAAGAAAAAAATTAACCTGCTCAATAAAAAGAGCAGAATACAGCTGTCATCCAAAAATTATTATAAGAGTCTAGCTAAATGATTTCCAGAAGGATTTTTTGTGATTGTATCTCATAAAACATCTGTAACTTTCCAGTTCAGAGCCTCTCATTTAGATCCTGAAATGGGGGTCTGTTGGGAGCCGCGTCTGTGATAGCTCGCCATGCACGGCGGACGTGCGGCCTGTGGTAAAGAGCAAAGCCTGAGGTAGATTACCCCTCCCATCGAATATGTTAGTTTCCTGCTTACCGCGTAAACAACCCGCTCAACAATATAGTCTGCCTGGCAACTGATGATGTTAGCCAATCAGCTTGCCTTGCTTACTTTAACATGATTGGACACTGTACCCATATATATACCGGTGCCACCCCTGGGCGGAAGTAGAAGCCAGGTAGAAGCCCGGAAGTAGAAGCCCAAAAGGAGCCGCGGAGAGCGGACCGGTAGAGGCTTTGGGGCAGACTGAAGCACAAAAGGAGCCGCGGGGAGCGGACCAGAGGAGGCTTCAGCTGGGAGAACCCAGGGCAGGCTGTACGGAGAAGGAAAATAAAAAGAAAAGGTTGTCCACTACCAGACTTTGTCGTGTGTCCTTCCTGCCGGCCGGGAGCGGACATCGACAGGGGTCAGGGTTCTGTATACAAGTGGTCCTGAGACCAGCTAATGAAATTCCACATTTCTCAATTGGGTTGCTTGGATTCCTATATTGTTCACAAACTCAACTCAAGCTGCAGAAACCTTTACTGACACAAGCAAACAGCAAGATAAAATGCCAGTGCCACTGAAATGAAAGAATAATAGTGAAAAGGAGAGGAGAAAAAAGACAAAACACCATGGGTTATAATGCCCACCTCTTTTCCCCAGCAATGAAGAGGCTGAAACAGGAGAATGGCCATATACTCAAGGACAGCCTAACCTACACAGTGTATGCAAGGCCAGCCAGAAATCCAAAACGAGACTGTCTTTAAATCAAAAAACTAAAATGAAAAAAATAAACAACCAATTAGAGAGAAACACTATTTAAAAAAAAATGATAGAGCTGAGTGAAAGTTTTGACTTATCTAAAATGGAAATTATTGAATGATGCTGCAGAGAAAGAAGGCCATGTAGTGGCATCCAGGAGGCAGTGACAAACACAGACTTAGGAATGGCACCATTTGTGCTAAAGCACAACAGTGACCTCCTTCCTCCAAGACATCTACAATTCACTAGACTGAGGACTTCTAAAAGCTCATGGAAATGTTAATCTCATGGCAAACAAGCAGCTTGAAATCCAGGCTTTGAAACTTGGCCTTTAGCAGACATTTCATATTCAATTTGAAGTAGGAGAAATATAATCCTGCCCTGTTTGATGTTGTTTGTTGCCTCACAACATTGAGGAATGAAGTCACAAACCAAAAGAAGTTCAAAAATTCTCTTAGAAAAAAGAGAGAAGAATAGCCCTGAATTTTCAGGAGTGGTTTTCAGTGTTTTGGCCACAGACCTGTTGTTAGGGGTCATTTATACAGCAAAGTCACAAGGTGGGTACAGAGTGGGCCTCAAACTGCAGTCAATCTATAAGCTCATAGCTGCTTAACTAATATTATTCAGCAGGGGAACAAGTCAGCCAGAAAAGGTATGTGGAAAAAGCCAAGCCATTTTGTGGGAACAATAGTCCAGTTGTTCTGGTCATTGAGTATGGTAATTGATGCCTATCTGGACTTCCTGGAGGAGGTGGTGGTAAATGTAGTACATTTCAAGCTATCATTTTTCTCTTCGGAGGCATGTAGACATGGTCACTTCATCTTCTCCTTCAGATCTGGCTTTCTTCAGCTGTGCCTCTAGTGGTGATTGTTGTATTTAATTTTTACATTTAAAAATATTTTTTAATAGAGGACAGGGATGTAGCTCAGCAGGCAGAATCACCTGCCTGGCAAGTGCTAGGTTGTAACTTTGATCCCCAGTACATAAAAATAAAAGTAATTTCAACTGCAAGGAAAAAAAGTAGTTTCATTTGTGAAAATGTAGGTTGACAAGATTTATAACTAAATATGTAAATGGCAAATTAAACATTTGTAATAGTCATATTTATCATCTAAAGTTAGTGGGGCTGGGCATTGAGCTCAGTGGTACATGGAGCTGCCTGTCAAGCACCAGGTCATGAGTTCAATCGCTCATAGAAAAGAAATCAACAGGTGTCAACGATGCAATGCTATGGGCACAATTATTGAAACTGATACTTGTTAATTAAAAGGCTCAATGTTTCTTTGGTGGTCTATGAAATACCTACAGATAACATGGCAATTACAGTGAATGATATACTCTCCCCTATATGGTTGCTGTTTTCTGAGTTTTTTTATTTTTTCTTTTCCCACATACTTGAAAGGTGAAAATGTTTGCTGATGCTTGGTAGAAAACTGTGATAATCATTTTTTCAATTTAATGATACATTTCCCTATATCCATTAAGAACATATTATTGGCTACAATTATGCCAAGGAGAAATGATAAACAATTCTTCATGTTACAGGCAGCTGAGTTTAGTTAGAAATATAGGCAACCATACAGTGATATAGTGGAATGAAACTCCTGACCTTCGGTGTCTGGTATGAGTTTGTGTTTTCTAAAATGAAGGAATGAATTTTAGGAACAACAGAGGTGAAGAACAGAATATATATATTCAGAGAAAGAAAATGAAACTATTTTACCCTAAATAGGATACTTTTGCAGTGGGAAGTAGAACCAGGGAACTTTTACCTGGAGGTCAGTTTCCCCTCCCCTATGCAACTTACCTGTGTCCAGAAAAGAGTCTCAACCAGCTACTGGCATATCATCACTGCCACATTTAAGCACCACTCAAGTCAAAATCTATCTGTATGCCCCCACACATTTCCACCAGAAACAGTCAGACTCCCAGTGGTCGTGGGCTTCTCTCCATGGTCTTACAATAAAGGCTATTTTGACTTTATATTCTCTTGTTTACTACACCAAAAATCCTATCAAAAAGCTTCTGTCTGAGAGAAACCGGAGGGGTTCTGAGCCTGTTGCAAAGGACTCTGTCTTTTCTAGGGACTTTATAGAATAAAATCATAGTGTGAGATGGGTTTAAGGTGGGTTAGCTTACTGAGGTTACTGAGGAGGTAAATCAGCTTCATAAGTACACAAGAATTAGTTCTATTAGCATTTTCTGGCATAATAGAGAAGCAAAATATAAGAAATATAAAGGTGACTTTTTATTTAAAGAATATGGAGAGGAGCCCAGAGCCACCAAGGGTTTGGCTTTTTTCTTTTCTGACTGACTATGGGATTATGGGGTATTTGTGACTTTTGACTGGATGTGGTGCTTGGAGCGGACAATGATGTCATGCAAGGAGCAGATGGGGATTTTCTTTAGGCCCCGCGGTAAGAAAGACAAAGGTATTATCAAGGAAAAAATAGGAAGTGGCCATATCGATAAGCATCACTGATTTGGCCTTCCGCCACCTTGAACTACCACCATGAGTTTCTGTAATTGTTTCTAGGGCAAAATTCTTTCAAATGCATCCTTCAGTTTCAATGAAGAAATGAAAGTAAAGAATTTCTGCTATCTGTCTTTCTCCATGGCTAGTGGTAAACCATTCACTAGAAATATTTTTCATCAATTCATTAATGCATTGTACATACCACAACCAAAATTACAGATCAGTTCACTTTCACAAAACAGAAGCAGCATTTAAAGGCAGGAATAAAGCCCTTCAATGCAAGTGTCCCTTAAGAGGTGAGATCAACATTGTTGAATACAACCTACTACCAATTTCTCTGACTTCAAAAAAGAGAAAAATTTATACTGATATTGCTAGAGGGGAATGAAACTCCCAGTATACTATGTCTGCTATGAGTTTGTGTTCTCTAAAGTCAAAGAATGAATTTTAAGAACAACAGAGATTAACAGAAGAATATACTTATTGGGAGAAAGAAAGCTGCCTGAGAGAGACTGGGTCCTGAACGGATTGCCAAACACTGTCCTTTCTAGGGAACGTTAGTGTAAAATCATGTGGTGAGATGAGTTTAAGGTGGGGAAAACCAGGAACTCACAATGCAAATGGGCCTAAGATGGAACAAAGCTATGGTAGCCAATAAGATTAAAAGTTCAGGTATAGTGGATTAAATTGGGAACAAATGGGAAAGGGAGTCTCATAGAAAGTAGGCATCCTTAGGCAGCTGTAACTCTTCCCTTGGGGGGTCAGGTGGGTGCCTGTTGAGTTCTTCAGGATGATAGGAACTATTTAAAATGTCCCTGTTTACAATAAGGATACATTTGTTTGAATGGTGACTCCTTACTTCTTCAGAGTGCTGGGGAACTATTTAGAATATGAATCCTTAAGGTGTGGATAAATTTGAACATCATTTGTCTTGAGCCTTGGCCCATAGCATGAGGTGTCTGTCTTCCCCATAGTTACAAGGTATCTGGGCTTCTGCATGGGCTGCTTGGAGGAGCTAGCCTTGTCTCACTCCAATGGTATTTAAATAAGGCAGCTGTCAGTAGCAGTAGTGTTTGGAAAATTGATTACAGATGTCTTGTGCTCTGGGTGAATGATCTCGAATAACAGTGTGCAATGTATATACCATTGTTGAATCATGATTTATATGTTTTGAAATTTAATTTTAGTTGATTTGTTATTTTTTCTTTGAAATAAAATGGATTTGGAAATAACAAGCCTGAGGTAAAGCTCTTCAGTACAAACACTCCTCTGTCGAACTGAGTTCACCACTGTAGAGCAATGGCAGCTCCAAAAGTCTCCGCACTGCAGTCTATCATGTGGGATCCTCATGCAGGGAGGGGTTCCTTTGCTTCTTTATTATTGACTCAGGAGGAGGGCAGTAGAGCAGGAGTCAATCAGTGAGGTAGAGGCGGGCTATATGAACTGTCTGATCAGGCAGGACATTGCTGCCGGTGACTTCTGTCTCTTCCAGTGTTTCAGCATGATTTACCCGTTCTGAGTACAATACTGGTAGCAAAACGCTTCCTGGATCTCATTTAGTACTTTCGATGTCCGGTGGTCTGATTAGCAAAGAACCTGAGAGACACTGGAGCCATGAAATGGTGGTGTTGTGCATGGCAGCCCAGAAATAGGGTGGATTGGGTGAAACCAGTTACAGGTGTTTAGGAGGAGTTCCAGTGTCTGGAGCTTCAGGAATTTAGTTAGCTTCATCTCCTGACATTCTCCAACATTGTTCCTGGGTCATTTACTGTCCCTTTTGCCTCTTTCTGTTGCAAGGGTGGTTTTGGGTCCCTGGGAACCCTGGCTTCACTATGACAGTAGCAGACTTGAGTATCGTCTTTGAAATTCACTGCTGCCCTGGCAACTCCACCATCTTAGACATAGAAGGAGATTGGGTAGACACTTACTCTGATGCTTTTTGTAGCTGGTAGAGCAGTAATGAGCTAGGTCTCTGCTCTCATTCCTCAGAGTGGCAGATCGGGTATGTCTAAGTTTATGAATGTCTGTAATGCAGGGCCTCATAGCCGCAACAGCTCTCTTTAAAGTTGGGCTTTTTTGTATTTATAGTGATTGCCTAAATTTGTAGTATGTGCTCATATTTCCATCCTCATGACAGGTGTTGGCAAAGGTCCTGAGAATTCAGAGATGTGCAGTGATGTGCCTCAGGGGAGAAAGGCTTCCCAAACACCTGGGGAACTCCTGTGTATTATACAGAACAATGCAAAATAATTGCTGAACATACTTAATTATTTAGGTGGCACCCCTGCTCACAGACTATGTTTGTGAGAACATCCATAGAGTTTTGAATCCTGAGAAAAATGAAGCAAATATGAAAGTGTTAGCAAGAACAGGGTAAAAATTTGCTAAGGACAAATTCCTGTAAGACTGCCTGTTAAATCCTCATTGGAAAATGCCTAAGTTTAGGCCTTTGCATGGAAATATACATGTGATATGCTTCGGAATGGAAAGGAATAGAGGTGTCTTCTCAGAATTAAGAGCTAATTTAATAGCTTGGTTTATCATAGACAGTTTAAATAAGGAAATGTTCTACAATGGACTTTACTAAGTGCTGTAAAGGAAAAGACTGAAATAGAAACTGTGCGGGGATATCAATAGGTAGGCATGAAGGGTTTTGTGCTTAGGGTGGATCAGAGGAGTGTGGAAAGGATGTGGAAGTGATTGGCAGGATGCAGGGTGCCAATAGCAGCACTTATAAGTCAGACGTTCTTCACTGAAATTCAGGTTGTTCTTACAGTAGGTATGAAGTTAAAATTGGGTTGTTATTTCTTCCTTGAGGTGAATAACACCAGCTTTGGCAACAGTTAGTATTCCACATCCTGTGCAACCCCCAAATTTTATGTTCCATACTTGAGATCTAATTTTGATTACCTCTAATTATGCCCCAGTGTCATGAAGGTAAAATTTGAAAATTTTTTTGTACTAGAGATCGAACTCATGACCTATGCTTGCCACGCAGGCATTCATGCCGCTGAGCTTAATGCCCAAATGTGAAAATGTTTTGTGTATAGTATGGAAGATATCAACATCGTTCCTCAGAAAGTGTTGAATATTGTTGGAATTTTTCTATATTGTATGAATACAATTTTTTAAAACAAACTCACTAGAGAAAATGTACAGTAAAAAAAATAAATAAAAGAAACAAAAGATGTCTTTTGCAGTCCTTTTCAAGTTTCACTTTCTCTGGGGGTGTCTCTGTCAGGGTTTCACTATTTTAAACAGCTCTGTAACTTAGGATGGCCCCAAATGGAAGGAATTACTCCTGCACCAGCCTCCTAAGATATATTTCTTATATCTGAATGGAAAGTGATCACTTGGTGACACTGAACTATAATTTGCAGCTTGGGCCTGGTTTCATTTTATATACAGTTTTTTAAAAATACATCTGTTTTCCACTAACATTAGAGTTATTATTTATGTACCATATTTGATGTTATTTATGTTTTGTTCTATGAAACCAAATTCATATTTCAAAATGCTGCTTCAGTATATTGAGAACAAACAACTCAGTGGCCTAAATGAGATCTGAAGAGACATCATCTGTAGTCTGTAAAAGGGATTAGTGAGATATTTATCTGCCTCTGTGCTTTGTGGATGCTGGTCCTGCAGGCTTCTCACTGTGAGCTCTGCTTTAGAGACAGTGCACAGGGACTCTTGCCATGATTCAGCACAAAAATCAGTGCACCTATTTGGCTGTTACATTAGCAGTGAGTTGCAATATAGCATCAAATTTGCTGTCTCCAGAAATGTGTATATACACAAAATTAATGACCAAGACTTGGATTTAAGATTTGAAGAAATCAGTCTCCATTGAGCTGTTTTGTTTGTTTTATTTGTTTAGTTTTGTTTTATTGAGAAAAGTTTTCTGTCTGTATATCAGCAGGATGTGAATGCCCTATGGAGGCTAGACTTGCCCTGACCTCACAGAAACCCTCCTGTTTCAGCCTTTTGAGTGCTGGGATTATAGCTATGCACCACCACACTTTGCTTTTCATTCAGATTTGTGTGAGAGATTTCATGATATCCCAAACCTGGGGTGTCAACCTTCTTTTGAGAAATATATATATTATCCTTTAGGAGGCGGTGACCTTTGAGGATGTGGTTGTGAACTTCAGCAATGAGGAGTGGACTTTGCTGAGTCCATCCCAAAAGAACCTCTACAGAGATGTGATGGGGGAAACCTTTAGGAACATGGCTGCAATAGGTAAGGATGGCTTCTTATTGTCACTCATGCTATCAAAATATTGTTTGTTTCTCATCAGTGCAGTTCATTAAAAGGAATGTGAAAATATTTTGAAAAATAGCTCAGACCTGGTCACATTATATTATAAATATAATCAAGATCTATTAATTTGTATGTATTACTCTAATGAGCCTGGTATTTCTATTTCTATAATTCAGGAGGACTTGGGGATAACCAGGAAGCTGAAAAAGAATGCAAAATTTACTGGAGATACTTAAGGTAATTCACACTCACAAGGAGAAGGATTCTTCTGAGTAATTAGTGAGTCAGCAAAAAAATTACTGCCAAAGAAATGAGGCACCATTCAATTTAATGTCAGTAATATTCTCAAAAGACGTATAAGCTGGGCATGTATAATGAGGGAATTAAATCATGAAAATAGATGACATTGCATATAGATGTGTATGAAAGGCATGAACTTTGAGTTGTGATGACATCCTGCCTTCAGTTTACATACCTATAAATACATGTGAATATAACACATTCATTATCTAAAAATTCCTAAGATTGCAGGAGATTATGCAATAAAACTGAGTGCTCATGTTTCCAAGCCATGCTCTAGAGAATCAGCCATTCTGATTATAATTCTTAGTAGGCTGCTGGAATCTTAAGTGCACTCATTCTGAATAGTAGTATGCAGTTGTCTCTAGAAGGTGATCCCTTCATACTTCTCTTTGATATGTTTATAAAAACTCAAAATCCACATTAAATACAGATAGATGCTTTCTCATACACAAAGCAGATCATGTTACAATAGATCAGGGCTTGAATCAGCTTAGCTATCTATCACTGGATTTGTGAAGTAAAATTTTAATAGACTCTGTGTGATTGTGCATTGTTATAAACCCAGGACCCTAGGAATCAGAGTTTGCAGAATGCCAAGTTCAAGTTCAAACTTCAAAGCTTAATGATTAGTGAAAATTTCTTAAAATAAAAAAGCTAAAGATTTTGTGCTAATACCTGTTGTTCATTTTCAGCATGGAAAAGAAAAAAAAATGTGTTATATAATGTCAAAAAATAAATAATATACTGTCATTTGCCATAAGAAATAGGTGGGTCTTTCTCCCATCAATTCAGTGAAATAGCTCAGGTATAAAACCTAAAAGATCACAGGGTTTATTTTAGATGAGAAACCAAAATATAAATTGTGGAATGAAATGAAAGAGAGTTGATAGAGAAAGGTAAGTCTGACAATTAGGAGAAGGGAATGGCAGGTTAGGGACAGAAGGGAGAATGTGATCGGGAAACATATCAGAATGATCTGCATGTCATACACATATGTACCCATGCCCAAAGCGAAGCTAAATATTCTGCATTTCAAAAGGTACCAACTTTTAAGATTCCCAAATGTGTACCAGTCTTTTTGGAGTGGTTGTTTTCAACATATCTTACAAGGCATTCTGTTGCTTCATTGCCAGAATTTCCTAGCAGGCATTAAAAACAGAACTTGACATTAATGCAGTCATTAACACAGAGACCCATTCCAATGTGATTTTTTTCTTTTTCTAAATTTTATTTAAAGAAAGATGAAACAAAACAATATAAGTAGAAATAATACTACTTTCAAAGTGAAAATAAACAGTAAGAAATCACAAGTCAATGATTACATATGGTGCTCATAGAAATAATCCAGATACAAAGGTGAAACATATGAAGTGGGGATTCAAACAGCAAGATTGCAAACAGTTTTGTTTAACTCTCCAACAAAAAGTTAGTAATAGGGTTATCAATCCTAAATGTGATTTTTTTCTTTACAGAAATGACAAGCTAGGAAATTTCTATGGATATACATCTTGGAATCCGTGTAAAGAAGTATTGCTTTTTACTGCAGAAGGTAATGCGTGTGAGAAAGAAACAGAAACACAACACGATGTTCAGATCCATGAAAAATATTGCAATGGAGGGACACATGATTCATTTAACCAATGTGGGAAAGGTTTTATCACACATGGAATTTGTAAGAAACATGAAAGAATTCACAGAAAAGAGAGACCCTATGTATGTAAGCAATGTGGGAAAGCTTTTACAACACGTACATATTGTCCAGTAAATGAAAGTCTTCACTCTGGAGAAAAACATTATATATGTAAGCACTATGAGAAAGCATTCAGTACAGGTACTTATTGTGTAATCCATGAAAAAGTTTACACTGGGCAGAAATCGTATACATGTAAGAAATGTGGAAAAGCTTTTAGCAGTAACATTCATTGTCAAATACATGAAAATTTTCACACTGGAGAGAAGCCCTATGTATGTAAGGCCTGTGGGAAATCTTTTGCCACACGTGGAGAGTGTAAAAAACATGTAAGAATTCACACTGGAGAGAAACCCTATGTATGTAAGCACTGTGGAAAAGGTTTCACCCAACGTGTAAATTGTAAGAATCATGAAAGAATTCACACTGGAGAGAAGCCCTATGTATGTAAGCAATGTGGGAAAGCTTTTACCACACGTGGAGGTTGTAGGGAACATGAAAGAATTCACACTGGAGAGAAACCCTATGTATGTAAGGACTGTGGGAAATCTTTTACCACACGTGCAGAGTGTAAAAAACATGAAAGAATTCACACTGGAGAGAAACCCTATGTATGTAAGCACTGTGGAAAAGGTTTCACCAAACCTGGAAATTGTAAAAACAATGAAAGAATTCACAATAGAGAAAAACCTTATGTATGTAAGCAATGTGGAAAAGGTTTCACCCAACCTGGACATTGTAAGCGACATGAAAGAATTCACACTGGAGAGAAACCCTATATATGTAAGGACTGTGGGAAATCTTTTACCACACATGGAGGTTGTAAGCGACATGAAAGAATTCACACTGGATTGAAACCCTATGTATGTAAGCACTGTGGAAAAGGTTTCACCCAACCTGTAAATTGTAAGAATCATGAAAGAATTCACAATGGAGAAAAACCATATGTATGTAAGGAATGTGGGAAAGCTTTTAGCCAACATGCTCATTGCAAGCAACATGAAAGAATTCACACTGGAGAGAAACGCTATGTATGTAAGCAATGTGGGAAAGCTTTTACCAGACATGGACGTTGTAAGGAACATGAAAGAATTCACACTGGAGAGAAACCCTATATATGTAAGCAATGTGGGAAAGCTTTTAGCCAATATGCTCATTGCAAGCAACATGAAAGAATTCACACTGGAGAGAAACCCTATGTATGCAAGCAATGTGGGAAAGCTTTTACCACACATGGAGCTTGTAAGCGACATGAAAGAATTCACACTGGAGAGAAACCCTATGTATGTATGCAATGTGGGAAAGTTTTTACCCAACATGGACATTGTAAGAAACATGAAAGTTCACACTCAAGATAAAACCAGTGTATGTAAGCATCATGAAAATGGTTTGAGCATACGTACATATTGCATAATGCATAAAAAACTTTACACTGATCAGAAAACTTATATATGTAAGGAACGTGGGAAAGGTTTCAGCAGAAATGCTCATTATCCAATACATGAAATAATTCACACTGTTAAGAAACCCTAATGTATGTGAAGAATGTGGGAAAGCTTTCACCACACATGGATATTGTAAAATACATCAATGACTTCACACTGGTGAGAAACCCTATGTATATAACAATGTGGCAAACCTTTTACTGCATACAGTCATTGCAAAACACATGAAAGAACTCACACTGGGAAGAACCACTGGCTATGTAAGCAAGTGTAGAAACTTTCAGCAGCCAGACTGAAAGTGAAGTACATGAAGAAACTCACACTTGCGATAAATCCTATGTGTTATGGGAATACTCTCAGCACACATGATGATTGTTACATATCTGAAAGAGCTCACTGGGCTTACTGTGGTTTTGCAATGTGAGAAATATGGCAGTTCATATTTGTTGTTAAAAACACAGAAAAAGCCTCACTGGTCAGACTGTTTAGCCCTAAGTCTACTTTAAAATTCCAAGGAGACCTGAAGAAATAATCAGTACAGAAATTTGATGTCAATATTTCTTCACAGATTTTCCAGAAACGACAAATCTGAGGTGGAACTCTCCTCAAGTGCACATGTTATATGGTTTTCAGTTAATCACTTGTACCTCTAGATTGTTTTAAATTGTCTTTGTGCTTCAACATGGCATCTTGTAATTAAACATGGTAAATTGAAATGTGCTTCTCACTTTCAAGTATGGATAGCATCTATGTACTGAATGTTTTGTCATTAAAACTTTATTTTTATATTTGGTGAATTGTAATGTTTATTTAAAGAGAAAAAAACTAAAATGGGTAGAAATAATGCACAATTTCTGAAAAATGAACAAGAAATCACTCGTTCATAAGTTACATATTGTCATTGTAGAAGTAGTTGTTCAAGTTACAAAATTAAAGCATACAAAATGACATTCAAATAATGACACTGTGAACAGTTCACCTCAATGATCCAACAAAAAGTTAGTAATATGCTTATCTGTCCTACACACTGGTTTTTTTTATCTTAAAGAGGGTAAGATTAAACATGACAAAACAGAACAGAACAGTTCATGAGAAAACAAGAAACACATTTCAAAGCAAGTCCACTGGAGATGTTCACTGTCTATCCTTTCAAATAGTTGTTCCCATCTTCACATGCATTGAATATATACTGAACATTATAGGACTAATCAAATAATTATAGGATGATGAAGGCTTTTTAGGTCTTCAAGACCTTATTTTGGGGAAGTCGATAATGACTACCATAATGTCTCTCATTCTCTTCATAGTAGCTGTCTTTATCTTTACATATGCTGAAATTGAACATAAGAGATTAGACTAATATCACTCTGAACAGTGAATAATAGTATCCTGAGGAGGAAAAGGGTGAGGAATTGCCTAAAAAAGAAGGCAGAGTACATTGTTAAAAGTGTATCAGGATTTAAAAGCTACAGTTGCCTTATGGCTCTGTTTAGTTTTAATATTTTGTTCCAGTCTGTCTACTCAGATTTGAGAGCACAGACAGATAACCGAAAAATAGCAGGTTATACCATGGTAACTATCGTTAATTTACTATTAACGATATCTTATCTTACTTACATTTTCTTACTATGACTGATCTTATTTGAAGCTGGTTTGTTTGAATGCTATTTGGCCTTGACTGATTTTATTCACATTCACATGCTTGCTGGTATCAAGTCTAAGATTAGAGGCAACAACTCTGAAGATGACAAGATGTAAAAGATATCCATTGGAGGGCTGGGGGTTTAGCTCGGTGGCTTAAGCACCTGCCTGGCAAGTGTGAGGTCGTGAGTTTGATCCCCAGTATCAAAAAAATAAATAAATAAAAGATATCCTTTCCAGGTTTGATTATTAACTGCTTTCACATCCTATAATGTTTCAAGTTTGTGTTTTTATAAAAATAGCTATGTAATATTATGCTTAACTATCTAATGCCTGATGATGCAGATAATTCTGTTGAAAAAAATAAGAGAAGGCATGGTAAGTACTGTACATCACCTAATATTGTGGTCTTATATGTCTTTTTCATATCATAATTTTCTAGGAATTTGTTTTGTTGTCTTGTTTTGATCTCTTTCTCCCCATGATACATAAAGGATAGATGTACACATAGAGATTGACACAGGGGAAGAATTTCTAACGTATTTATAGGAACAAATTATATAATACATGAGATAATGAACTGATACTCTGAAGAAGAAGAGCCACTAAGAAACCCAATGCTGCCTTCCGGGACAACATAGTGGACACGTAGCAGCAGTTACGGAGGTTCTCTGAAACACCCAGCTTAGAATTCAGGAATGGTGTTGAGTAAGGAAAGTAAGAGGAGATATGCCCTGGTGACCCAAGAACAAACTGGGCTGAGAGAAACCAACTGGGAATGCAATCCTGGTGCTATAACAGGAACAGATAAAGCCTCAGCATGGAAGCTGGAGCCCGTGCCATTGGAAGCCATGGTTTGGGTTTCCCGCTGCCGCTGTTGCATCTCCATCCACTCAGCAGGGAGAAAGATGCACAGAAGCTCTGAGAATGGGAATCAGTGAACAGAGTTGAGAGCAGGACGGGCGGGGAGCCGTGTATCCACCTTCAGTGAGTGAGGGAAAACTGGGAATCTTCCACGATCTAGGAGACTCCAACAGAGGACATTCTGGGACCTGGCAGACTTGCAGGAACAGGGCACTGCAGTGACTTCAGTCACGTATCCCCTCTCAAGTGGGATTGGTGAGTAGTGCCTAGCGCACGTGATGCTGCTGGCTGAGACCCAGTAGGCTAACACAGCCCAGGTCCCAGCTCCTGAAGGTTGACCTGAAGGGGTGGACCCTGCATAGGCTGCCTGGTCTGCAACTTCCTGGTGCGCTGTGGTGGGTGGGAACACCTAGCCGGTGTAATGCAATCAGACTGTGGCTGACAGGGAAGGAAGCTGGGCCTCCTATATACACTTGCATATATAAGGAACAAAGAATATGGGAAGAGGCAGCAACATGAAAGGTCCTTCAGCCCCCAATCCTGAGAAAGAGACAACAGCAGACACAGCACCAATAGATATAAAGCGCTATCTCGAGAGCCTCATAGACAAGTTCAGGAATGAAGTTATTAATGACCTGAAGCTAGACATAAGCAGAATAGTTAGAGAAATGCTAAGCACCACCCAAGATGGTGGAATGGAAGAACAGAAAAAGAGGGGAGAATTGTTTGATGGAGAAAATAGAGAAAGCATAGAATACGTGAAGCAGGTTCTAAGAGACTACCAGGAAACTAAAAAGTCTATCAAAAACTGGCATAACAGCTTGAAAGAAACTAAGGACAGATTATCTGAACTGGAGGGCAGATTTGTAATATGGGAGCATGAAATGAAAAACTTCTTAAAAATAACAAGAAAACAAACAGCAATAATATAAAGACTAGAAGATGATAAGAGGGTCTATAACTTAAGAATTAAGAACATAAGAGAAAAGGTAGGGACACAAACAAATGAACTACAAAAGCTACTCACAGAAATAATCCAGGAGAATTTTCCTAATTTAGCAAAAGGTAAAGATACTCAGTTGCATGAAGCATACAGGACCCCAGCCACCTACAACCCAAACAGAGCAACACCCAGGCATATAATTAAAATTCCAGAAATCCAATACAAGAACAGAATACTAAAAGCCATCAGAGACAAGAAACAGATCACTTACAAGGGAACACCTATCAGAATTAGAGCAGACTTCTCAGCACAAACCATCAAATCACGAAGAATGTGGGGGGAAATAATTCAAGCTTTGAAAGATAATAATCTCCAGCCAAGATTGATATATCCTGCCCAACTATCCCTGGAAATTGATGGAAAAACAAGGTGCTTCCAGGATAAAGAGGAACTAGGGGAATATGCAACCACCAATTCAACTCTACAGAGAATACTGCAAGATATTCTAAAAAAGAAAAATATGAAAAATCCAGAAGTAGCGGCAGAGAGGCCACAATGAATGGAGCAGAAAACAAAATGAAGAAGACAAACTGACCACTAATGACAGAAAAAGAGCTCAACAAAAATGAGGCAGAGAAGATTGGATGATAGGAACAGCTATTTTGGAGAAAATGATGTCTTAAGAGGTAATACTGATAAAAAAAAAAGAGAAATACTGATTTAGTATCATCTTGTGTTGAAGTCTCATTAAGCTTTTGTTCTTCTGTCTCCATTGGTCTAAACAGGTGATATTTTATTGGATTTTATTATACATGATAGTACAAACAAAATCTTTTATAGACAAGGAGATTATACAGAAACCATTGTTCATTTTCTGTTAGTGATTCTAAATACCCTGTAATATTTTCATTCTCTTAAATGGTTTTAAATTGTTTTGATATATTTGATGCTACAGTATACGAAGTTATACTCAAAGATTTCAAGGAAAGAGACAATATGGTAACTACTTTTATGTCGGGATAATCTTGTGGTGAAACATTATTTTGCTTAAATGGTTATGTTTTGATCTGTGCTGATTAGCTGTTATGCCCTCTTTTATCTCAATCTCCATTTTATTGTTTACTTATTTATCCTTTTTAATTAAGGGAAAAATAAATTTTAAAATAGCAGGATATATTATAGTAACCCACTTTGACTTCCCATTATCTTGATTTAAAGCCCTGTATTGCTCTCACCATCTTGTTTTGACTGATGTTCCTCTGTTCTGTTTTGCTTGATAGTACCAGGTTTGAAAGTTTAGATAACAGCTGTTAAGATAGTGGGATTCATTATGACGCCCATTCTGGTTGACTATTACCTACTTTTGAACACCTATAATGTCTCCAATGTTTTGGTTTTGTTGGTTTTGTTCTTTACTATTTTGTTCAAATTTTATTATAACTAATGATATAGGCAATTCTATTAGAGATAGCAAGAGGCATTATGGTAACCATTGTTGATCACCTAGTATTATGCTTTTACATTATCTATTACGTCCACCCTTTTGATTTCACTGACCTGTTATGTCACATTTGGTTCTACTCTCTTCCAAAAAAGTAATAAGAACTGTGGGAGCAACAAAACCCAAAATGTGTAATTGTCATGAGGAAAAGAAAGTGCTTTAAATGATATAACTGCATGTATATTTAAGTGTATAAGATAGATAATGATATTACTGAGTTTTGTTGGATCATTGAAGAGAACTGTTTGGAATCTCACTGTTGGAATGTCCACTTTATAAGCTTTAATTTTGTAACTTGAACAATTATTTCTAAGATGACAAAATGTAATTCATTAACTAGTGATTTCCTACTGTTTTTTTTTTCTGTAAATCTGTATAACTTATACCCTTTCTCTGCTTTTTTTTTCTTTTTCTCCTTAAATAAAATTTAAAAAAAAGAAACCCAATGCTAATTCTGTAGCATTATGATATACAATCTAGCAATACTATTATTCTCTGTTCAGAGTGATATTAGTCTAGTCTCTTATTTTTTAGTGAATTGTAATTTTAACACAGCATCTGCTTTAATCTTTTGATACACATGCTTCATTTTCTGTGTCATAAATCGTGTTTCTGAAGTTGATGCAATATTTGGCATTAAGATATAGATTTATAGAGGCTTGGAGTATGTGTTTTTGACAATGTTGTGTTCTTTTCACATAACTTGTGCATTAATGAATGTTACGTTTTCCATGTTGTGAAGAGATACGAAAGCTGCTGATTCACTGGATATTACACCATGTACATTATGGTGCCTGGTTTTGTTTCTCAGTGGTACCAATATTTATCATTTAAGTAAA